TCGCGGCAAAAAATTCTATGGGAGGGGCGCTGTAGCGCAATATAGGTTCAGTGGCTCCTCCTTTTTTCCAGTGACTCCGCCTCCAGACTCCGCCCCTAATGACCGACTTCCAGTGAAAAATGAGATTGCAGGACGAAAAAGCATGATAATCGCCACTTGTACGATCGTAGAAATCTTATGAATCAGCCGTGCATATGAGGGCGTAGTTTTGGAGATAGAGTTGATTGGGCACGTACAAACTGGGATCGAAATGGGGTTCTATCTAGGGCAGGTGGCATGTTTTTTGTGCTTTTTTTGTTCACAGTCGAGTTACTCAACCCCTTGTCGTCTATATGGAACCCCCTAATCCACCATCTGAGATGGCGAGTAATCGCGGGTTCTTCCCTTAAAGCTGCTCAACGCAAGCGCTAGGATATAACGAACTTTCACTAAGATTTCTATATTGTTACCACCGAATTTCTTTCAACCGCTAAGCCGTCCTATTTCCAGCGAATGGTGGGTGTTTTTTTAATGTGATAAGCACGACATTGCAAACGTTCATCAAAAGGAGAAAAATTATTATAGGCCGTATTCCAAGACATGGGGATTAGGCCAAGTGTTAGCGGCCAGCACAGAGATCCTGTCAGTGATCAGTACCATAGGTTTGACCATGCGCGCAGTAGTGCCCGTCAGCCATGCTGGTAGTTTTAAATAAAGCCAAAATGTAAGTATCATGTAGTAACACACTCGGCATGCACCGACGCAACAGTGATGTTTTTGTCAGCGGTCCCCTCATGCTCACTGTCACCGCTGACAAGAACATCACTGTTGTGCATGCCAAGTGTGTTACTACATGATACCTACATTTTGACTTTATTCAAAACCGTAATTAACAAGCACCTCATTGACTATGCATGCTCGAAGTTACAATCAGAACGGAGCCCACTAAGATAGTTAAAATCGCCCATTCTTGTCAAATTCTTTTCACTCAGTTTTTGACCTCCCAGAAACGCATAGCAAAAATGAAACCCATTTTTGTGATCCTTGTATGGACCCCTACAACAAGCAACAAACCATTTCCAAAAAGCGCGCCACGACCTGAAAGACCTCCTTGTAAGTTTCATTACAAAGTGAGGGTGCTAACATTTGACAGCGATGAAATGGCCTCCATAGCGTGAAAAATTTCTGACCGATGCTTGTGCTGCTCCAAGATCGTGTCTTTTCTCGTGGAGCGAGTGAGCGGCTGTCGCCGCTCTACCGCCACAAGACCACTCGTAGAAAACAGTGATTCCTGAAAGTTTCTGAGAAATTTACTTCATTCATAAAGTCGAGTAAGAGCTGCTGGTTATACACAGCTTTTGCTGAGAAGCTCAGAAAATGTTCGTAACCTTTAAGGTGAATCGAGGGCATAAATTTTCGCAAAAGTTGCTATAGACGCAAAATTCATTAAGCTTATGGTTAGAGGCTATCATACCAGCCCAAAGAATAGCGCTGGAAGGGAAGGGTTAGGGTCCTCCTCCTCTATGAGTTCAAAACTTTTACCAAAAATGAGAATTGTTGTCTTTTGAGGAGGAAAATGTTGCTTTCAACAGCATTCATGAGAACAAATTACTCCAAGAAGTTGTATATTTTCCTAATACCTTAGTCTTAAGTACTACTTTTGATTGGAACATTTTGCTAGTTCCCTGATCGAGAAAGTGTTGCTAAAACTCAAACAATTAGTTCCAAGGAAAAATTAAGAAATCCATCAGAATTCAAAGATCAAATGTTATTGTCACCGATTACTTCAGGGTGTTTGGTGGCCAGTGGCTACAAACAGGCTTGTGAGCATGCTTTCACAGGTAGAGGCAGCATGCAGGGGGTCAAAAACGACCATCGATTGTGCAACTGAAAACAATCCATCATCGCGAACTCACAGAGATATGTTTTTCTTTCAGCAAACCACAACGAAATTGCCAGATAATGAGGTATCGCCAGAGAGAGCTACCAAGAAAGCGAAAAGACATAAGAAGGGTGATTCTGTGAGTGTTATACTCGCCATTAGCTGAGTGTCAACGCGCTAATGTTACGATATTCACGTCTTCGTAGCGGAGTGTGATGAATACTACCAGTCGCTATAACACCAGCAAAAGGGCTTTCTGATCCTCAGCGTTGCCTGGTTTTAGCGTGACTGATCCTTGCAAACAAGATTTGGGAAAGGACGTGATTGAAGCGTAACGAGAGCGCTTTTTCCACCAATTCTTGCACGCTCACGATGACATCGCCTACCGGAGAAGGCTTCTTGGTGGCGTTCGAACACGCTTCATCCCACCCTCTTTCGCTTGTAGTGATAATGACCGTATGTCCAATCTCCGAGCTACCTATTCGTGTGCCTTACTCTAACCATAGGAATATTTTGCTACGCGAAACATCAAAGGGATTTGGGGCGACCGTAAGCATGTCTCCCCTGAGTGAAATAAAGGCGTTATCAAGCTAAGCTCCTTAGAGTCGAATTTGGGAGAGTGATTTCTACGGAAAGAACGCACAAACATTGAGAGAACCAGAAATTTTTATTTCAAGAGACGCTAAGTCTTAATTTTTGTTCTGTATCGAAACCGGATGCAGCGTAGTCGTTTATTGAGTCCAAGCGAGAGCCGAACGAAAAGTGAACCATACTCGACAAACAGTCTTTTATACAGGAATGATCTGGTATCGCCCAGTACTACTATCACTTAGAGTAAACTACTACCTATCATTCCTCAACACCTCCCCCTATGAAATACGTATTATATACTCTCCTCTTCATTACGGACTGTCGGGGCGTATCAGCCAGTAGGAGTGCGCACACTGTTTGAAGCCGTTCTCAGCCTTTTCGTTGAAACGCGTATGCGACAAAAAGTGGTAGAAAACGAGTAATACGAAGGATATAATGCTGTCATGTCATTTGCTCGCTTCAACAACTGGTGCAGAAAGACTTTGGCACCGCGGAAAACGCAGCCGCACTGACCCGCCCCGACAGTCCGTAATGATGAGGAGTGTATGTCTTCATTCATGGATTCACTTGAAGACGGCTGGGTGGCTGTCGGTGTCGTTTCGCCTTGCTTGTATCTGCCGGCGGGGCAGCGACTGCATCTCGATTCAGCATGTCGTCATTTGAATCGGTCGAGGTCTTCTTTTCCTGGTTGTGCTTGGCTTCTTTCAGCTTCTTCTGTGGATTTTCTTCACAGATGGACTCATCAGGTATCTGAGCTCTAGTGGTGGTGACTCCTTTTGATCCAAAACTAACCATCTTCCGTCACTAAGTCGTACATGACGTGACCATGACGGTTCTTCACGCGAGCTGGAATCCATTTCTTCTGTCCAGGGCGGAACTCTCTTGTCCATACGGCTTCTTCCATCCGATTCGACCCTCCTGGTTTTCCATGATGGAGCTTGGACTGCTTCCCTTGGAGCATTCTTGTGACCTTCGATATTTCTTCGTCCCTTCTGGACTCTCTTCCAATCGAATTTCTGGTCACGCTGGGCGTTTGTCGTCAACATCGCCTTCGAATCTTCTTCGACTTTTCCCTGCAGATACGCATCTGCCAAGTCGATTTGTGTGAATTTCTGTCCTCCATTTAGCTTTCTGCACACTAACAAGGTAACGGGTAACTTTCTGCAACCTAACCAGGTAACGGATGCTGATGCAGTAGCAAGGGGTCGTTCAGTCTTGTTGAGAAGTCGTCACATAAACGACTCTGTCCGTTCTTCTGACTGCAATGACGGGTGCAGCCCATTCCGAATGATCAACTGGTGAAATCACACCAGCGGTACCAAACGATCAATCTCTGCATCTAATTCTGGCACGGAGGCATAAGGGACTGGTCGCTTCTTTTTGAAAACAGGTATTGTGTTTTCCTTCAAGAACAACTTCGCTTTCCTTTTCTTGCATCGACCAAGCTCGCAGCTGAAAACTTCTGCGTATCGCTTCTTCAGGTATACAACTAACTGTGCTCGGGCAGGCACCATTTGGCAGTGGTACTCTCTTTGCTACTGCTTTACGCGAGAAGTTGAATACACCACTCCAACCAAGTAGAATTTGTATTTCCGGTGACGTAGCAATAACCATTTCCTTGAAATTTCGTTCCCGTAGTACGGTCTCTCACGGAGAAGTCTGTGGAGAATCTTCCATCAATCTTCATCGGTGATCCGTCTGCCGTTTTGACTGGCATATTACAGGATTCCAAGGGTGGGGATCCGAGCTTTTTCCATGTTCGACGAGATATCAGCGTGATATCTGCTCCAGTGTCGAGTTGGAAACGTAGAGAACGTCCTCTGACATCGACATCGACGTATGTTCTTGCTTTCTCAGGGGCAAAAGTTGCGACATTCCGGCATTGCTTCCTTCTTACGACGGTAGTGCTGCCTTTTCGGTTTCTTGGAGACCTGCCTGAAAAGTGGACATGCGAAATGTGGTCCTCCACATCAAAAGCATTTGACTTCTTTTTTCTGAACAGCATGGAATGTCATGGCTTGTTCCCATATTGGCGTTATCCATCTTCAAAGCTGTGAAATTTTCACAGTCAGCAACGAGATCTTTGGTCAGCGTGTCTTCTGCTTGCGTGTCGAGCCTACGGAGCATTCTTGACGTACTTCCTGGTAGTGAAGGGTCTTGAAGACCTGCGACGAACTGCAAAGTCTTCATCGCCGTGTAATCCATTTCCTTTAACTGAGCTTCTTCGTCCATCCGCTTGATCATATTAGCGTACTCTCGAAACGGTATGTTGTCTGGAGTCAGTGCTGGGCAGGTTATCTTCAGACACTCATATCGACGACGGATTAACGTTTTCTTGGATGCGAATAACTTGTGGAGATGTCTTACTGTTGAATCGAAATCTATCTCGTGCGGTTGTAACGGTAGAAGATCATCTGCATACTTACGGTACGCGCTATCTTCTAGTTTTAACAGAATAAGATCTCTCTTCTTGCTATCTGGCACACTCGACTCTCGAATCATTGGGCCGTACCTTTTATACCAGTAGTCGAAAGTGTGTCCGGTTTCTTCATCTGGTTACGAATTTCTGGACTTCCTTATTCAACTGGTCATACTGGCCATCCTGACAGTCTTTCCCATTATTCCTATTCGGCGCAAGGGAATTGAACAGCACTTTCATCTCTTCATGCTGAAATTGAAGTTGTTGTATCATAGACTGAAGTAGTACCTCAAGTGTGGCTGGGCAGGATTTGCGTCTCCGGAGGACTTCGGCATCTTCTATAGCCTTGTGCTGGTTGTCTAATCCTGGTTGATCCTGGTACAAGTGAATCCTGGAGCAGGCAGTCCTGATCGCCAATGTTCTGTATCGAAACCGGATGCAGCGTAGTCGTTTATTGAGTCCAAGCGAGAGCCGAACGAAAAGTGAACCATACTCGACAAACAGTCTTTTATACAGGAATGATCTGGTATCGCCCAGTACTACTATCACTTAGAGTAAACTACTGGTATCATTCCTCAACAATTATCATTGAATTAGTTATTAGTATCAGGTCATACCATCTAAAAACGTGGAGAATAGAGGTATGGCAGGAAAGCAAAGGGACTGTGGCTGTGAGCTGTTATATCGTTTACCTAGTACCTTTAGCTATGTACTCGTGAAATTCGGCTACCTAGCCACAGAAGAAAATCTCGAGAAGTTGAAAAGAAAGCCGAGTGGGTAAAACCAGCGGAGGGTAATGGAAATGCGCGTCATGCGAGGAGAATGCCCCGCTCAAGTTCATCCCAGGCCGAAGCAATAGTTGCACATAAGGGTGTTCTCCCAACGGAATGTGGAAGATTCTGTTCAGAGTTTCAAAGTGGCCTTGCCCATGGTGTCAAAGTACAAGAAAAGCGGGTGGATGAAGTCAAGCGCTAAATGCCTGATCACAGAGATTGGACCTTTGTCGAGAGTGTCCTTGATGCTGACATCCCTGCACTCGTTGTCCGAATTATGCCCGAAAAATTGAAAAAGGTCAACAGGGTGGTCAACAGGGTGGTGGAAACCTCATTTTCTTGTCGAAATACGAAAGCAATAACGCTGCTCTGCCTGTATCAGCGATGCCCATCGTCTAATAAGTTTTCACTCACGATTGGGGAAGCGCATCGTAGCATTAGACAAAATATGGGTGGTCTTGTACTCGCGCCGAAACTTACAAGCATCAATTTTGCATGAACGCACATGAGCCCGATTACTGTCGTCAGGAGTTACGTGGATTCAAGAATAAAAAAAGAACAGAACCGTCACTGTCGGTGTACATTGCCTGTTCCTCGACATTTGGATCGACGAGTGCGTCGAATGCGTGGTACCACGCAACTACGAGAGCTGGGTTGCCCTATACGCTCGAGCTGAGAATTGAAATTTCAACTCTTCTCCAGTCGAGGGTGCTGCCTGACGGCAAACGCTAAACGTTTGGTCATTCACCGAAATTGGATCAACAGCAGTTTACTCGCACTTGCTGGAAAAACGAAGGTGCCAGTGGCCCAAACGCTCCCGGGGCGGTGGGTGCAGGTCTTTGATGGAAGAGAGATCTATTCAACCTGAAAAAAGACTACTCTTTTATCTCCTCTAATTTTCGCTTTTTTAATAGAACTTTCCATGTTTTTGATGGGATGAACTAATATTGAATTGAGTTCTACGTGAGAACTGCATTTTCAGATAGGATCGTTCGAGCAAATCGTGGAAGAGTTAGAAGCGAAGCAAAAGGCGAAGAAAAAGGAACAACGTCTTGTCTTTGTAATGCACATCACGTATTTTGGCCTCATTTCTTTCAAAGAGCATTTTCGTGAAAATAGTTTTTGTGTGAGACAGGCGATATGGTACGCAACGATATGTTGCCAGTTTAATACGCTGATGATGGAAAGAGGTAGTGACCGCGACCGAGAAGCTACAGTTGTTTCCGCTGCAAATGCTGAAACGTAAAAGACTGGGTTTTGGCGCTGCGCTGGCTACTTCTAAACCAACTTTCGGAGGAGGGCAATCGAGCACGCGGACAAGCGACAACAGAGGTAAAATGGGTTTGCCAGCGCTCCCTGTGACATGTTCTAAGCATCGACTATATGTGGACTTTCACCTCATTTGTACAATGGCGAACTGGAGCCTTCATCGAAAGTTCAACTAATTTATGACTAGAGAGGGTCCTTACATGGAGAAGCGAGCACGAACTACTTCTCCAAGTCCTCGTAGAGATGACAAGTTCTTATGCAAATATCTTCGCATTATGATTTCGTGGATAAGGTTCCCTGCTAGGCTAAGGCAACAATGACAAAACTTGAGGCGGTCTTCCGAAGCTGTTCTGCTGATCCCTCACACATTATTTGCTGCCCTTTACAACTGCATGTCTTCCGTATACCGTCTGGTCCTCCTTTTGGTTACTTACCATAAATCTAGAAAGCATAAGTCTCGCCGTCGGCATCGTTACCCCTTACAGCGGATGCGGCACCGCATTCCACTCAGAATTGGATCGGCCCCTAGTTGAAGGCGATTGCGGCCGCTAAAAAGATGATTGGGGCGGCGGGGGGGGCCTGTCTAAAGGAGGCAAGGCACAACCCGTTACCAGTCAGGTCAGCGTGTCCTTACCATCCCAGACGAACTGCTGGCACCGGTTTACGACGCGTGCCGCGGCGGACGACAGGCTCGTTCATGGTAGGGACCAGCCGATCCAGGATCATGACCTCGGACTACCTCGCGCGCCCCCTGGTACCTAAGGCGCGCTTCCCACTACCAACGCTTACCTGGCTCTTAAGCATAGCGTCGAAAAAATAGAAGGTTTTGGACCTGAAAAGTCAATGCAGAGTGTACGGCGACAATACCAATTTGCAGGATTTTTCATTGCAAAATGTGCAGAAATGAAACCAAAGGCAGCAAACGAACTAAACCCGCACCAGCCGGTTGAGGATGGGACTTAGCTATGGGTAGCTACGGATTGAATCCGTATTCGATAATGTTATACGGTTTACCCGTGGATTTATTGCTTGCAAAGGGCACAGTGTTCCGGCTGCTCATGTTTAAAACATGAGGCTCTATCCAGCTGTTTTAAAATTAAAAGCTTTGACCGCCCCCGTTTCACTTCTTATTGAGCGGCTCGAGTATCGGTGACCTTTACATAAGTTGAGCCAACCCGCGCTTGAAGTGAGCCGAGGTTTGAATGAGGACGAGTCGCGCTACTCTGGTAAGCGCCCCAAATTTAGCTTCCCGCTATAGCAAAACGATATGACAAACCAGGCCTCCGGCGCTTCAAGGCGTACACACTTGTTTCAGCTGCGGCGGATTTTGGCGGCGGGACCGCGTATTTTCCTGAGTAGTTGTTCATTCGTACGGCGGCATCTCTATTGCTGCGGTTCAGAATAAGCATGGTGTTCTCATACGCTAGCATTTTCGAATGTAGAAACGCCATGGTTCACTAGAGACGTGCTTGACGGCTCCGTGCAGTCCTCACTACGGTTACTAAGTCGGTGAAGATGATCCACGCGCACTTGTCTCTAAGCTCTGCACGCAAGCCGAACTTTAGGCCTTGAAATCGCTCAAATGATCTGAGCATAACGTTTCGCGATCCCGTGGTAGCAGTCCATAAGCTCTCTTTCGGATGAGATCAAGCCACTATCAAGACGAGGACCATCCCTGGTCTCGTTCATGACGACGTTGGTTTCATTTAGGCTTACCAAGCGGCAACGGAAACCGAAAAATCCTTACACATGGGAATAAAGGCTTGGAGACTGTTGCTTCAACAATTGTAGCTCATCTTGTTCAACTCCTCCAATAGATAGACATAATCGAGCGAAGCGAAGAGCTAACTTGGACCAGCAAAAAGCAGCAGTAGAAAAATATGGTGGCGATGGGTCACCAGGCACTTGCATTGCAATCTCATCTCTCGTGCATCAGTTCACTTCTACAACTGTGCAATCGGTTACATCTACTTTATATAATTCAGCCGACGGTCTGTCTGTCTGTCTGTCCGGAAATGGGTACACTATTTTTCCTGAATTGATGTTGCGACTGAACCTCTTTCCATTTGAGGCGTTGACAGTAATAGCGTTTCGATGCTATGGGTACGTGATTCTCATCGCTGTCATTCTAGAATTGGACCTGCACTGTCTATCTACTATATCTACAGATATGTTTAGGCGGTGAGCAACAGTTGATTGGGTCAAAAAAGCACCATCCCTCCTGCAAATATATGCGTGTACTCAGAAGTGCAGGATCCGCAGGGTTGCTCTGTCTGTTACGATTCGTTCATTACAGGCAATATGAGCAGCTCAGTGAGTGAACAACTTCTGTTTCCATTATGAAGCGCGCCTGCTAAGCCAGGGCTGGAGAGAAGGAGAAGAGCTCGGCGCTATTTGGGCGATCCGACTGGTTATTCAATACCATCTTTCCACTGGAGCAGCGCTGTTTCCTTGTTTGCATTACGAACAGGGCACATCATTGGTTGGGATTTTGTCGAGCCCGTACGACCCTCCCTCCTTTTTTGGGGGTTAGGTACGACCCCCCCCCCGTTTTACGGTTTGGTTTTTTTCGCCTTACTATTTGCGTCTGGTAGGCAGGGGAACTCGTAAAAGAACGTCGCGTGGGGGCCCTCTTGGCGAGGGACTGCCTGCAGAACCTACCCACTTATTTTCGAACGTCTAACATCAACTGAGGGTGGTGGTTGATAATGATAAGGAAGCATTCTATGACCTCTAACGATCCCTCAATCTTTGGCATGATTCTCAGTTAATAAGTTAATTCCGTGAGCTATCAGTTGGACACCATAGCTTCTGATTGTACATTTTATTGGCGATTCGATGGGAAGCGTGGTGCGCTCAGAAAGTGTTCCTTCTACGACTCCTCCGCAAGGATGGTGATGCGGTGGGCTATGTGAGGGATCTATTTTCCAGTGGAGTTTTCCACACTCATTGCCATGTGCGAGTCGAATAGTACCCCTGCTTTCCTTTCCTAGCGTTCCACTTTCTTCACTCAACAGTGCAGGGAACAACGCTGGGGGGAGGGGGGGGAGGGGTAGAAAACCGGGCGCCGACCTCCAACTGTGCCGCCACCTTTAAGGTGTAGCTTCACGCGAACTGCAGAAAACTGTCGATGTCGAAAAAAAGCAGGCGTAGCCAAGGAACTGTATAATGTGTGAAAACGAGTGTGGGAACAACGACGGTACAAAGAAGTTGTGAAAGTTTGAGGTCTGCAACCATTTCCCTAGAAGGTGAGTGAGGTTGTCTGGGTATCCGTAGGTGGACTACTAAGGGGAGTATATGTAGCGCATTAGATTCGAGATGCTTGTCCGTGAGGTCGAAACTGAGATCTTCGAATCCCTCAAAGAACTATCTCAAGAGAGTAGCCTTTCAGACATATACTTAACAGCTAGGCCCATGCGGTTTTAGCTTTTCAATCATAGGTATCAATGAGGGGCTGACAAAAATGCTCAACTTCGTCGACCTAACATCCATTTTAAGCATGCAAATATTAGTGGAAGAGAAAGTTGAAGAAACCTATGGTCTAAGGCAAGGAATCCTATGCAAAACTTATCAAAACTCAGTGGCAAAACTTTTCTTCTCAGCGCGATACTTCGAGTGGGAGAAATTGCCACCACTTATGGGCCGACCCAATACAATAAACTGAAGATGTGAACCACATAAAGCAATCAGAGAGGAAAAGCATCTGAGTTAGAATGAACACACAAACAGCTTGGATGGTAGTGTTAGTAATGAATCTAGACATTTTTCCACAATACTTCAGAGTTCAGATCATTTTAGATACCTTCTGTGATAAAAAAACAGTAGTATTTTTTTTCAATACATGCCTTTTTCCCATTTGAAGTGCAGTGATTCCATGTCGTGTACGTCTGCATTTCACTCGCTCTTTGCGGTTTGTGTTCTTGATTTTTAAACTTATCAAAGCATCTTCTTTTCTTACATTTCCTACGTTCACTTTCATTTTTGTCTTCTACTTTCCATGTTAAGTTTGACTCACTCGTGCCTGCCAAGAAGAGGGGATTAGCCATAACTAGTACGATGATGCTTAAGCTTTGATGAGGAGCGAAATCTTGGTGCCTAGCGCGAAGAGACGTCATTAAGGAGAGAGGGCTCACAATTGAGGTCATTCAGGTCATCGCGCGCTTTTCAGAAATGGTTTGTTGCATGTTGTAGCGGTTACATATAAGAGTAATAAAAATCGGTTTAATTTTCGCGATGCATTCCTGGGAATGCCAAAAAATGAAAAGTTTGCTAATGAGCAGCCATTTCGAGGCGCTCTGCTGTTTTTCATTGTAATGTTGAGTATACACAGCTAATGAGAAGTGTGTCAACCATGCATCGAGATTTGTTGTTAAAAAAAAGCGGGAAAAGTACCTTACCTGGCACGTGGTGAGATAGCGTTAAAGTTTCTCATGTGATTTCGTAGCATCCCACTCCGCACGGAGTGAAGGTATCCAGAGCCATGTTGACGACAAATGGCTTCGGTGGCATTTATAAATGTCAGAACCGTGATCAGGGCTATTGATGACCCTTAATACAGAGTTCCACAAAATTTTTCTCTTCGAGTTTTGACGATAGACCTTGTTGAGCTTGTGTCTATCAGTATCCTCTAGGTGACGGTACCCAACTTCGATACCTGGACCTTTCCATTTACTATATTCTATAATACCAGTCGGATCGCCCGGCTGTCGCCGGGCGCTCCTCCTTCTGTGACATGGCCCGGCTTCGCCGGGCCATGCGGATTTGCCGCGTGCTAAGTTAAGGATCGTTGACCAACCACACTGTTCAAAGGAATCTTCTGCATCAGCCAAGAACTGAAAAGCAGCGCTTGTTCCGTCAAGGCGCAGAAGCAGCAGCAGCGCCCCCCCCCGCATCACAGAAGGAGGAAAGCCGGCCTTAGCCAGCGATCCGACTGGTACGTTCATAACCTACACGGAAATAGTGCAGCCTGTTTGGACAGCCACTGAAGCAGCCTATAATTTATGCAATCTGTCTTCCTAAAGCGTCTTGCTTTGGAATGCACTACCGCATTCAGCAGTGGAACCCTTTAAATGGCCCTCACTGAAGTTGCTGATGGAAGATAATTGTGGTAAGAGTGATAAAGTCAGTTGCTGCTGTTCATAACATCTCTGTAAACAAACCACATGCATTTGGAATAGAGCTGGCTTAGCGGTCGTACACGATGTCGTTACTAATAAGCAGTGAGGAATGAGTTCTGTTGGAATCACTGAGATCGTTATACTTGAGTCATATCGATCGCATTGTTGTTGTGAGCGGTGAAGCGGATTTTCCCATGCTACCTTGTCAATTTTAGCTCCTATCACTTCCGTACCCGCCAATAACACTCCCGTCCCGTATCACTATCATATCACCCTGTATCGCCTCTCGGATCAGAGGTCCCACTGTTGCTGTAACCTGCGTTACGAATCTGATGACCCTCCCCTTCCGAGGCCGCTTACCGTATCTTATCAACTGTTATCACTTTCTGTCGCCCGCCAATAATGTTCCCGTCCCACACCCTATATCACCTCACGGGTCTTCAGCTTCTGCCAGCCCTACCCTACGGCATATCAGTACTTGAAATCATGGTCCCGCCGTTGCTGCAACTTCGGTCACCCTCCCCTTTTAAGGCCCCTTATCGAATCTTATCAAGTGTTATCACCTCCTGTCACCCACAAAGTGTTCCCGTCCTGCCATGTATATCACTCCTTGAAATCACGGTCCCGCAGCTGCTGCAACTTGCGCTAGATGTTGGTCACCCCCCCCCCTTCTAAGGCCCCTTATCGAATCTTATCAAGTGTCATCACCTATGAATTTCGTGACACACACACAAACACACACCATACCACACACACACACACACACACACAACGAGGGACGGTTCTCAATTAGGCTTTCAGGACCGTTGACTTCTACAGTATATGAGACTTCCACTTTGCGGGAGGGGGGAGGGGGACAAAGCCTGCCACTAGCTGAGAAATAATAAATGAGGAAGTGAGATGCACCTAACCAAACATTGCGTTTCCCATAATTAAGTTACAGTGAAGTTGATTAGGTCAACATTCAATCAAAGCTACATATTTTGTGTTATCCTGCGTAAGTACGTTTTGGAGCGGCGCCATCTCGTTCCCCCCCCCCCATCGACTCGGTTGCAAGGTTTACAGCTGGAGCCAATCCAGTGGCCGATCCACTATCACCAAAAAACCCAAAAAACTTTTCTTTCCTGAAAATCTGTATACAAGGGTGACGGCCGAGGCCACGCCAGCATGGCGCTGAACAGCTCATGCGTGAGGTTGACAACGATTTCAGTGCAAAAAATCTCCTGCACCAAATCAGCGATAAGTTGCGCCATGGTCAGACGTGAGTGCCGTGCTCGTGAACAGGGCATCGGGTGAACCCGTAGCCCAACTTT